TGGGTCTCAATCCAAATAAAGCAGAATACATGATATTCGGCACTAAAAGTAATCTAAACTCACTTCCCAGTAAAACGCCACCCTTATGGGACAGTCAATTGAGAGGGTGAATGAGACCCGTAATCTTGGCCTACTTATTGGTTGTAATTTGAGGTTCGAAAAACATGTTACTGACTTATTATGTTACTGACTGGTTGAGTCGTTGGTACTATCAAAATTGAACTACGCCGATCTCTGAGAGCTAGAAGTCGTGGCTAATACACCGTGTATTAGCCACGACTTCTAGCTCTCAGAGATCAGCTGATTCAGAGGATCAAAAATGCCTGCAGTCGTTTTTGTTTCAAGATACCACGAAGAACTCACGTCACACCGCTCCTAAATAACAATTATATCCTCAAAATGAAGTCTACTCGCAAGCTTCACTTAGCATCAATAATACCGCAAACCAGTTTACCTGTTTCGTAAATTGGAATGGGTGTCCAATAAATAATAATAATAATAATAATAATAATCTTTAATAATCTAATAATAATAAATAATAAACCTGATTGTACGGTGAGACAGTTGATTTATGGTGTTGTGTATATCGTAGTGCATGTTAGCATGATCTGTATATCTGTTATTTGTCTTGTTAAATATTATTGATATATGTTATTAACCTTATGATGTATGTACACAGTGTAGCCATTAGGGTATGGTTTTACGCATAGCGTCATTTTAGGCCCAATATTGAAAACCAGCCTCAGGCTTTCATCAGACACAAGGCTGAATTGGGTCCGTTTTTGGCATCGGTGGTAATTCAAGCTGCAAAATTGTCAAAAGTGTTGTGTTATTGTCAAAATAAACGTTTTTTTCTTTCTTCTACTTTGCAGCGAATGTGCCAAAGTGCTGTGTATTAAAGTGACGGAAAAACAATGGATTAATGTGGATGTTATATCACAAGATGCAGTCGATAGTAATGTTGTTGAAATCAATCTAAGTTGGAATTCAATTAAATTATTATATCTATTAGTAACGATATGAGTTGTACACCCTACAGGTAAGGGACGCAGGGTCCCGTAAATACGTGAAATTTTTGTAATAAGTGTTGTTAAGGCAGACAAAGTGGTTAGTCCAATTGTAAATTTAAAATAATACGTGAAACTAACGAAAATATAAATGTATGTAAAGAAACAAAGGGACAAAATCGTACATTTGTCAGTCACGAATGAAAAGGCCGATTTTATGTTAAAGTAAGAATCACAGCACAGGACCCGTTATATATATTACTAACTTTTACCCGCCGTTTCGCTTGATATTTTGTCAATTATAGTAAAAGTTAATTATAGTTCCAGACGATAATCTATTTTGTGCCAAATTTTATCCAGATCTGTTCAGCAGTTAATTACTCAGACACGCCAAGTTGGCCAGTAGTTAAAATACTCAGTAATTTGTTACTTCTTGTTTTATAATTTATTGTTGAAAAATAGAGATTATTTATATAAAAAGTGTAGACTTTAATTTATAGAAATGATCTATATTTTGCTGAATCTCGAATACTTAAGTATGTCCATATAATTTGGCTGCTAACTTAATTTGACGTTGTTCTTTAATACATAGGTGTCATTAATATTATGCACGCGAAAGTTTAAAATGTTAAAAAAATGTAGAATTTTTTTAAGATATAAGTAGAGGACAAACGAGTAGACTGGTCACCAGATGGAAAGTAACCACGGCCACCCATGAACGCCTGCAACTCAGGCGTCACGAGCGCTGCAGCCCTACATTGCAAAATAATGTCCTACATTTGGCTTTTAATAAATGTCTACTTAATAAAGCATTTTTGATTCCTTTTTCTAAAAACTTTAAAATCATAGTAGAAAACGCCTTACTATAAAACTTAGAAGTAGATACATTATTACATCTGTCGCGAAATAGAGATATTATAAAAGTATATTCTCATATTTACACAACGTACACATATTTCAACGTAACTACTTACTTAGTATAAAGGAATATTATTATTTTATTACATCTACTAACTTAGGAAGTATGTAGGTACCTGGTAAATAAATTACAAGGTAGGTTGGAAAACATTGCAAGCAGTGCGTGCAAATGAAGTTCAAACCCCAAGAATAATGTAACAAACACGTTTAGCGAATTTTAGGGAAACGTAATTTATTGATGTTTTCTATTAGTATTTTATGTGAAATTAAATTTAGAAATGTTTATAATAGGCTGTAGTGTCCAGAAACGTGTTCGGTGGACAGTAAAGCCGTTTAACCCTTGGATGATGTACTTAGAGTAGGTAAACATACGTACTTTTTTTAAATAATTACATGGAATACAACATTTAATCAAAATGACATAATTAGGTGCATACCTACGTACAAATGTAACTAGGTAGGTATACTTGTGAAATTTGGTGTTCACTTCTCAGTATGCATACCACGCGATGGCTACCTTAGAAAGAGTCCACAACAACAAATGCGTTGGGCATCTGCGACAGTGAAACGCTGGCTGTATTCGAAACGATCGATTAGACACTTCTATAGTTATAGGAAAGTGGCTGCGTAAAGTCCCCGTGCATTTAGTTGTGCAACATCTCCTTGTATATTTAGATTATGTTTAATGAATATTACAAATGTTACGTGGTTTGATGCGGTAACTCTACGTCAATGTGACAGCTTTGATGCACCATCAGGTACATATTCGTTAATGAAGAACTTAGAACTTATCTAACGAAAGAAAATAATACAAAAGTATCGGTGCGAAAAAGTTCTGATCGTCTGGAATCTCGGTCAGGCCATGAGGGATAATTGTTTTTCTAGGTTTTTGTTGATGTAATTTAACATTCAGTTTTTAAATAACGAATTACACTTTATAGTTATACACTCAAAGCAAGTTGCTTCTGCAATTTTACACCTGACATGGTAGTAATCTGGGCATTGCTATGTCCTAGATCGCTATTATAAGGGCATCAGTACCCACAACCAATAGAATTTAAACAATTACTTACACATGTACATTTATACAGTTAAAGCAGAGGCATAATAAACGACCACATTTTGCCGTCGCCGACTATAGTTTTAATCCTTCTTACGTAATGCGGTGCAAGTCTATTGCAGTCAACCGGGTACTTTGAGACACTTGGAGTAGGAGTGGGATAATTTGAGAGTTGTGATTAAAAATATTTATTATTATTCTCAATATTCACTTACTTGAGAACAATTATAACTTCAAGTACTATACAGGTTCGTCATTTCACTCAATAAATATTATTTTGCATAGACACTGTACTAATCTAAACAAGGACTAGCTATGTGTATGATGGTACGTAGGTATATATTGAGCTACGTTTTGAATACATTAAATGAGTTTACATTTTAATGTGCGAAGATAGTTTATTGAGTAGCTTCATATGACAGAATTTGAGAGTTTACAATATGGAAGGTGAAGTTGGTTAGAAGGAAGGCCATTGTTGGACAAAGCTTTGCTTAAATGGTCTAAATGGATGAACTGAGGAGGGTAAGCAATAGCTCGAGTAGGCCTGAGTCGCATACCAGTACTACTTGAACTCCCAAAACAAATATATTTAATATTTTCTCAGATCGAACTTATTTTTTTTTATTATAACACCATGACGGTGTAAGTCGCTAGAGAACAGAAATACAAGTAGGTTACGTAACAAGTTTATACTGTACCTTTTATAGGTACCTACCTACGGTGTAAACTTTGGCAGAAAGCAGGCTTTCAAACTTTCATATTAGGCCTGCTAGTATAGTGGTTAGTGACCCTGACTGCTAAGCCGGAGGTCGTGGGTTCCATTCCCACCCGGGACAAATAATTGTGTAACGAGCACGATCATTTATTCTGTCTAGGTGTGCAGAAAATCTATTACTGTTATCTTGCATGTTAAATCAACATAACGTGTAAAACTGCAAATCTCTCAACGCGGTTTTTCTGGACCATAAGTTATGTTGCGAGATTTAAACTGTTACTTACCATCAGGTAAGTAACATTTTAAATCTCGCAACATAATTAATTATAATTACCTAACATTTTATTGAAACCATATCAATGTAATCATCAACATCTTTGTGTTTTGTTTTTTAATTATTTGCGAATATGGGTACAATAGTAAAGTTGTTACAAATATTATTTTCGTTCCTTCAATAAATTGACTTGGCTTTGCTGTTAAGGTAGCGTGACGAAAATAATAGTTTTGTATGGGTCTATGTCCTCTTGGCCACAGAAAATTTGTTATTTTATACTTGAAAAAGCTTAGTTCATAGCTTCATTGCACATATGCACCTGCCATGTCCCTTACTGAACTATCTATAGGTTGGCTGGTAGATAATGCCATGTGGCATTAAGTCCGCCTTGTGTGAAATGTAATGCAGGAAGTGTAAAATAACAAATAAGGCTACTTTACTGGAGGCTAAGTTATAATTGGTTTAATAATGATTTTGGGAAAAGGAAGGCATGACCTTTTTGTTCCTTTGCTTGACTTGTTATAAAGTGGCATCTTAGTCATTTACAAATAATAATATGATTAGTCATAATAATAGTACATAGTTAGATTAGAAATCCAGTGTAATCATTAATCAGGGCGAGCGAAGCAAGCCCCATCACTGTAAACCAAATATGTGTAGTGTAATATATTTTTATCAAGTGGATTGTTACTACTAAAGCCATCTGTTAGAAAACAAAAAACAGAATGTTTAGTTACAAATATGCACAAATGAGTGGATAATTAATTTTCAATCTCAAAAACTTCGCGAGTGCTCCCAAGGCATAGCTTTTTGCTAATTTTAGCACAGATGGCTTAAAAAAATATCACTTCTGTGTTATTTTATTGACACCTTATTTACTGAGTTACATCTATTATGTACTAGTTTTTTTATTTCATTTATAGATTAGTGTTCAAAGTAGGTGCTGCTTAATTAGATAACACACTGCAAATTAAATACACATAACAATTTACATGAACATATTATTTATTAAAAAATTAAATAAGGTTAACTCATATCTAGTTTATTTGAAATATGTTTCATAAATACATCCAAAGAATCATCATTTTTGGCATTGTTGTCAGGTTTCTTTAATACATATTCTTGAACAAGTTTCATATGCTCTTCTAAATTCTCTATATCATTGGTTTCTGAATCAAAATATTTGTCTTCTGCATCCTGCGATAACTGCTGCAGATCATCATATTGCTCATCATTGTCTACACTGTTGTAGTCAAAATCCTCATCTCTACCATTTATAAAACTACTATACATCTCTTGTAAAAACTCTTCTCGAAGTAAGTTTCTTTCGGGAGCAGTGATAATGCACTGTTTTCTTTTTTCAGGCATGTAACTTGGTCTTGTGTCTGGTATGTCAAAGTCACCCCATTGTTTTTTTTGCACATGATGGCTATTAATGTTTTCATCAGAATTGTCGTCTTTGTTTAATTGAATTGCTTCAATATCCTCTACCAGCAATTGCTCATTTTTCATTTCTCTCATCTCATTTCTATCAACCGTCTCCAAAATCATATTCAAAAGTGTTAGGTTTTCATTGTCTACATTATCTCTTGCATTAATCTCCTCATCAGTTAGATATTGACCTACTAATTGCTCATATAGTAAGGGATTTCTAAACATCATTTGTTTTTCACTGAAGTAGTCAGTTTCATTTTTTAGCTTTTGTAATGCATTATATCGTCGATTTCTAACTCTTTTACGTCTACTCTTATCGGAATGGTAGTTTTTAAACTGTTCTATACATTCTCGAAAATGTTGGTCTACTTGCGATGTCGCCTGCAAGTTATCAAAGTAACTCATGTGGTACGGAGCCAAATACTTGCCGAACTGTAGTAAGAACTCAGTAGGCGAGCGCTTGTAAAGATCACAGGCCATTGTAATCTTTTCGCTGGTTCGTATCTCTGATTCATCAACATGAGCATTTTTAAAAGAAATTTTAGCACACCGCACTAGATAATCAATTATATCAGTAATTGGATCAATAGAAAAGTCATCATCTAGCCTATTTACCTCCATTTGTGATTTTGTTACTTTTCACCAGGACATATTAATTTAATTATAATAATATAACCACAGATAGCTATATATATATACTAGTCAGCAGTGTCAACGTTATAAAATATTACTAATCTACTAAATACGGCAACTTTTTCTACTAAAATCTACTAAAGTAAAAAAAAATCTTCTGAAATTCTTCCAACCTACATTTTGATGCATTTGAACAATGTGGTTGAAATAAAACACGATTTATTATTTTAATTAGATTGAGAATTCAGATTGGAGCCAACTAAATCTAGTCCAGTTCAACCCAAAAAAGTCACAGGTCTGTGCGGTCACCGCAAAGAAGATACCATTTGTCGTATCACCTCAATTTGAGAGCACGAGTCGATATATCGAGCGAAGTCAAGTTTCAGGGTCACTTAAAGGGTAAGGTTAAATTGGCCGCGAAGAAGCTCGGTGTGCTGAACAGATCAAAGCAGTATTTCATTCCGGGCCACCACCTTCAGCATATATCAGCTATAAGGTGCAAGTACAGGGGCAGCTTCCCCCTCAGGACCATATCCAACGAAGCGCGATCGAGTCGATAGCTCAAACATCTCCGATCGGCTCGATCCATTGCCGTTCCGTAGATATGTGGCTTCACGCTGCATTCTCTATCGCATATATCATATAGAGTGCTCCAAGGAATTGTTCGGACTAAAACCAGCCGCAACTTTCCGCCATCGTTCCACACGGCAAAATTTTCATCCTCATCACCTGGATAGTTGGCGCTCCACTGAGCGCTTTTCGAGACAGTTTTTGCCCCGCACAAGCAATCTGTGGAATGGGTTATCGTCTGCGGACTTCCGCGTCTTCCGAACCGACACGATCTTCGAACCTTCAAGCGTAACTCGTACGCGAAAAAAAAAGCATACTCCTTCCTAAAAGGCCGGCAACGCGTTGTGATTCCTGAGTTGCAGACGTTCATGGTCAGCGATGGTCACTTTCCATCAGGTGACCCGTTTGCTCGTCTGCCCCCACTAACATAAAAATAAGCCAATATTTGCTCCCACCGGGAATCGAACCCAGAACCTCTAGATATGGCGACGCCCTGAAACCGGGGCGTACAAACCACTCGGCCCCGGAGATCGTCGAGATGGTTTTAAAACTTTGTGTGTACAAAACAAAACCATGGTGGCCTAGCATAGTATACCTCATTGGACGTTTTCTAGGAAAATGAATGCAAATTTGAATAAACCAGTTTTAAAACTTTGAAGTTTTTGATTGTTATTATCGTTTCACTGAATTAAAATGTTTGAATAATAGGTATAAAATAAAATGTTTGATTAATTTAAATTCAAATGTTAGATTTATAAGTAGTAATCTACTTTCCGATTTTATGAACAAATATCATTTCATATTGTTTTCAAGTTTGCTACTACCACTGTGTTCTTTAATAGACTTTAATCTGCTTAAATTTTTAACTCCGCTAGCTTTACAGAAAGCATAATTATGCTTGCTGTTACATTACATACATTACTGTTTATATCTTTATATATATATAGTTTGGTTCAATTTACGTTTCATTGTAATTATAAGTAGTAGTCAGAGACACAGAGTATATTGAATAATATGAGAGAAATGGTCAGAAAAATATAACAGGACGACAGGTGCCACTGCGCTTCGATTGTGAATGAAATATCAACTTTTAGTTAATGGCTTTGTGGTAGAGTGCAGTATATTACAATGGCCGTAATGCAGTATATTACAATTTTTCAGTATACATATTACAATGTACTTTGTGGTAGAGTGTAACCACAAGTGAATGATATATCACAGAGTACAGTAGGTACAGTAATATTTGATAGACACTCAGCGACAGCGACATCAAAGACCTACCAAAGAGTTTAAAAGTCTACAAACGAGTGAGGCTCACCTCGACTTACCAACTTAAGTGCAATTTAACTTGCCCGGTTTAAACTAAGTTTCATTTAAAATCTTAGACATTAATACCGAAACGAATAAAATTCTTACGCTTCTTAGACATTTAAAACACATTTTTTTGTATTTTTTTAAACTGATGTAAGATGGCGCTATTGTAGAACGTCCACAAAAAATAAATTTCACTATTTGACAAGACAACTGTCATGTTTTGACTTATCTTTGACAAATACGTCTTCCTTCTTGAGTCATTGGTTTTGTGTACCTACTGTAATTTGTAAATAGTGTAAAAAAGTCCCTATCCCGGCCTTTGTGTTAGACATAGTGATAAGCCTATTACTAAAGTGATTAAATGAGGTCGAGATTCTAATAATTAATAAGCAGAATAGTTAAAACTGTGTCAGTCGCTAATTTACGGTGTGCAAAATGGCTATGAAAATATTATTTTTTAAGGAGTAATTGTTAAGGAAAAACATCAAAATGCAGTGGCAATGGGAATATATGTGCGGACCTGAAGGACTACAACCATGGAATGATCGTTCAAAAGATTTCGGCTTATGTTTTCAGGAATTATTCTTACAAGTTCCTCTGTATTTTCTGATTGCTATCATATCAGGCTACTATGTTGGATATAGAAAAGACTGGGTAATTCGTGGGAAGACACAGGAACGAACATTAGTATTTCGTAGTTTTATTGTTTTAGTTTTAGTGTTCATTCCAATCATAGAACTTTATATTGTTTTAACTAAAGCAGATTTCATTTTGTATCCTGTTGATTACTTTACGGCTGGTGCGTCATGCTTGGCGTGGTTATTTCATTTCGGTTATATCTTGGCATTGAAACACCGGCTGGGACATAGTTCTAGAGGACCATCAGCACAAATAGTAATGTGGAGTCTTGCAGTCATCCTAAATTTAATAGCATTGAGGAGTAATATAATGGCCAACAAAGTTATTGCATTTGACATTGCAACATTATCATGCCATATATTCTATTTTCTGACACTTATTCCATCGAGTGACTCAAGACCTACATTTTATTCACCATGCCTTGTTGGCTCTCAACACTCACATGTAAGTTGTAATTTTTACATAACTAACTTTACGTAACTAGTACATATAACAACATGTTTTATATTACAATTAATAAATTTTCTGATCATAGAGTGAATACACACCATTGCTTCCACATCTCGATGAAGAGATACTTGGGACAGCCATGCAGGGAACAGGATGCCTTTCACAATTGTTTTTTTCATGGGTGAACCCTCTACTTCAAAAGGGTATTTATTTTCTTTGTCATAAACTTTTCTTTTCCTTTGGAATCTCCGTGACCAGTCTGTTATGCCATTTGATATGTTTTTTTTGGAGCATGATGTATTACCATCTCTAATTATGTTGTGCTTTCAGTAGGGTATTTATTAGTGTATTATTGGATAAATGTATATATGAAGATTACTTATGGTTAAATACCTTTAAATACAATGCTTGGGAGTGAATTTTAATGTTCAAATTCAAGCATGTAGACTAATTAGAACTAATTTCAATTATGTGTTGTGGAGATTTTATTAACATCTTCAAACCTTCGTTGTAGCAAATATGTGGTACATGTGGTCTGTGTTTATAAAAAACTGTTTGCCAATGCTAATAAAACACATATTTTTTCTATTAACAACTAAGACTACAAACCAACTAAAGCTACCAACATCTTGTGTTCATTGCAGCAGTTGTGGATAGAAAAAAATATCAGAAAGTATCAATTTTTTGGCACTGTTTTTTTTTTTATAAACACAGTCCATATGTTTTGCCTGCAGGGAAGGCATTAAGTAGTAGTGCTAATTACTTGTGAGCTCATCATCTTCTAGTTTATATAAGTACACTGTATGTAATTAGTATGTATGACTAATTTTTATAATACCCACACATGCAATTAAAACAGTAACTACTGTTCAGTATGGTTCATCAAATTTAAATACAAAAAGTCAGACTAAAGCACTATAACCCAGGTTAAAAAAGAAAAGTCAAAATCATTCTTGAAAGATGAAAATGGTTTAAAATGTCTGTTTGTTGTCTTACCTTTATTTCTAATGTTCTTTAGGTCTGAAAAATAAACTAAATGACTCAGAAGAACTCTTTGACATACCAGTAAAATATAGCTGTTCCTATGTAGGAGCTAGAATGGATAGAGCACTTATTGGAAATGTGGACCATTACCAGCAGTATCAAGATGTACCTCATGAACCCTTTCTGGGATCAGGTAAATACATTTCTTATAATTTAAGGTGAATTGATTTCTAACATTTTCTATAATCTATACTAATATTATAAATTAAAGTTTTTTTGTTTGTATCAAATAGGTTCCAAAACTACTCTAGCGATTTTAACATTTTTTTCTAATTTTTTTTTTTTTCTAAAAAACTTAGACGTGAAAAAAAGCAGATTATGTTAACTAAGGTGTAAAAAATCACAATACACAAGTAATGCACGGAACCAGTTTTAGACACTCGTAACAAGAAATGGACACAACACTAAAAATGTGGTTTCCGATTAAAGATAACAATTGAGCATGCAGATGTTGAATATAAGATTTCTTTGCAGGTTATGGTGCAACAGGAGAAACGAATTCACAATTTTCAACTCCAGTGACACCTACGACGCGTGTGCTAGTGCGACCACCCCGCAGGCAAAATGTTACTTTACTAAGAGCCTTGCACAGTTGCTTTGCACTTCAGTTCTATAGTATTGGAATACTGAAACTGGTTTCTGACATGGCTGGATTTGCAGGCCCAATCTTACTTAACAGTCTCATCAAATTTGTTGATGATGAAAACATTGATCAGCATTATGGGTAATTGTTATCTATAATAATATAATAGAGCTGAATAAATTATATTTAATCGCGCTAATCTTTGAAACTATCAAGTTTGAATAATTCTATTATTTTCTTCTTAAATTTGAATAGGATAGAGTATTCATTGAAGAGGGTTATAACAGTGACATACATTTATAATGACACTGTTAGTAGGTCAGGTGATACTGACGAGCTAGGCTTTGCCTGAATAAAGTTATCGTGTTTTAGTTTCCCGCGCACGTTTAGAGGGTGGGTAATTTAATAACTCGCACAAAGTCGCTATATCTGTAAATTATATGTTTTTTTTTTTATTAATAAAAGGACTTTGTCGCTGAGCGACTACATCGTCCCATATGGACAGCAACCAATACCGTGAAACACGAGTATCCATGACTTAAAACTACATTATTGTATACTTAAACCTAAATCAGCCAGTTTAATTAACTGTTTAACTTCTTCTGTAGTTGGATTAGACAACATACTATTCAAATAGCCAACTAGTAGCCTCTTGTTTCCGTCAAAACACGATACTCTCAGACGCTCGTTCCGGACACATTCCATCAAAACGTGTTGAACATCTTCTATTACACCACATTCAAGGCAATTAGGTGACGGGACTTTTTTCATCAAGAATGCAAACTTTTTCGATGAAATGTGTCCTGAACGCAACCTCAGTACAGTTTTTAAGTAAATTATATGTTAAATGTAAGGTATATTTTTGTAAAACTAAAGTATAGCTTTTTATTGAGACGACCAATTGCTGTATTTAAAAAGTGTATGTAATCTCTTTGATTTTTAGTTATATGTATGCAGGAGGCTTACTTGCGGCAACGTTAATATCGACTTTTTTTAATGTTCATTTCAATTGGTTGATGTCGATCATTGGTCTCAAAATGCGCGGTGCAATAGTTGCCACGATACTCAGAAAAACACTTAGTGTTACTTCAACGGAATTAAACAAATCTTTCTCTATTGGGGAAATAACTAACTTTATGTCGACTGACACAGATAGGATTGTCAATTCTTGTCCAAGCTTTCATGCATTATGGAGCATACCTCTGCAGGTATTTAATACATTTCATAATAGTTTAGATTAACTGTAATAGAGAGTAAACTAAACTCAAATAATGTACTTTTTTCAGTTGTTCATTACACTATTTCTGCTGTATCAGCAAGTTGGAATATCGTTCCTTGCTGGTGTGGCGTTTTCTATTATTCTAATTCCAATTAACAAATGCATTGCAAACAAAATTGGTGAACTTAGCACTGAGATGATGAAGCATAAGGATTCTCGAGTCAGTTTGATAACTGATTTGCTTAAAGGCATAAGAACAGTCAAAGTTCATGTATGGGAAGATTATTTTATTACACGCGTGACAGGTACGTATCGAGAGAGTACTAAATGGTAATAAATACTGTGAAAAAGTGTTTCGCTCAATTGCGTTTTTTTTAATAAGAGAAATGTACTACTAGTTTTTTTAGTAATCTTTTAAAATAACTTGTAACTGACAGCTGAAAGAATACTTATACCTACTACATGTATCGCAGTCCGCTGCTGGACATAGGCCTCTCCTATTGCATGTACTACATTATTCTTTTTTTCATCATCATCAGCCTATCGCAGTCCACTGCTAGACATAGGCCTGTCCTATTGCATTATTCTTTATATTATTATTATTTTTTCAATTATACATTTGATGATACATTTCTGATATATTGAGGAGACAATTGAAATAATTATCATTTAACTTATTATAATTCTGTTAATTAAAAAAAATCTTTGTTGATCGCCTACACTTTTGTTGCCACAAAACACTCTATTTAATCTATCATACGTCTCTGTTCATTAAGAAGGACTCATAGCGCTACGCTACATGTAAAAAAGGTGAATGACTCTTTTCCCTCTATAACTGTATAAAGAAGACAACTATAGTTTAGTAGAGTATCTTAATATTTTTGAAACTAAATTAGTTATTTTGAAGGTTTCCTGAATGTGATTCCCAAACAAAATCGAATAAAATAGATAATTAGATAAATGTACGTAGAGAACTGTAACTGTGTGACTGTAACTAAACACATTTTCATAGAGAATAAGTTACCAAGGTGAGAAATAGATAACTCTAGTACCAAATGATATTTGAACAGTTGCACATTCGAGATACGTTCTAAATGCTGATCAATTACATAAATTATAAGAAAAGACATGCAAATAAAACTCTTTCTTTCGTAAACCAAATCCTATACGTAATTAATAAACAATATACTTTCAGAGTCACGAGACAAGGAACTTCGGTATTTACGCGGACGCAAATATCTAGACGCCATCTGTGTCGTTTTGTGGGCAACAACGCCAGTACTTGTCGCAGCATTCACCTTGGGCACTCATGCACTTCGTGGTATGCAACTAGATGCTGCTACAGTAAGTTTCATATGTTCTGTGGCAGTGGCTTTACAATATACTGGCATACTTAGGTATCAAAGATCGCTCTCTACTACTGCCCACGTGAACGTTATTTTGTATCTAATTTGCGTTCATAATTTTCCACGGTCTGAATTTGTTTTATACAAGCCTCTCAGTTTCATTCAGACGTACTATAGTAGGTATGTACCTAAGAGTTATCCGGCAGAACCAGTGGCGGATTTACCAGCAGGCTGAAAAGGCTGGAGCCTAGGGCGGCAAATTTGTCCCAATAATTTTGTCTTACAGATATGATAAGAAATATATATTTGCGGTCTAATATTACAATTTAAATTAGTAATTTTGACTAACTTTTTATTAATTATCACTCAGGCAGGCTTGAGGCCCTGGAATGCGCAAATTCGCCGCGCGGCCATCGTGGCTTGTTGGCTCGGCAACTTACATAACTTGCTAGTTAGGCAAGTTGTGCTAACTGCCGCTACCCGCCCAGAACTCATCCGTCTGCCGATAAATTTCGGCAAACACTATCGCCTCCAAATCCCACAGGTTTGTTCAGGCCAACGCCGCCTCTGTAGACACGGTGCGGCAACCGCGTATGTGTCTAACTGCCAATACCTTCTGAGGTTACCAGAGATGCACCTTATCTCTACACTGGTCACGTACAGTGCCATACTCCCATCGACCGGACAACCCCCATGTACAGCCATCTTGTCGCGATGCTGGGTCCACCCAAATTGGGCAAAAGTCGCTGAATAGTAGACGCAGCGACGACCAGTTTTGAAGCAAGTGTCAGTAGTACTCGTCGAGAAGCCACCTCCGTTAAATACCGTCAGTACTATTTAAGATTGTTTATTCCATAAATATGTTTTTAATATCATTCAGTGAATTTTTAGCATTAGCAAGTTGCCTCGAGATTAGGTATTGTTTTGAATGCCTTTGTTTTCTCGTAGTGTTTTGTTAAATTGTTTACAGTAGTTCATAGAATTGGTACCTTTATACTATTTGTGAATAAGAAGTTTAATTATAGGGTAGGTATAGGTAATTTAAATTTTGAAGAGTGTGACGTGTGCGTTGTAATAGGTATTTTGTGAATAGATAGGGATATTTTTTTTAAATAGGCAGATGGTATTAAGTGACGAATTGACGAAGGCTAGCATATCACGAACAAACTCTGTATTGAATAATTCTGTAATAATGTTAGAGAAAATAAAATAGTAGACAATTTTTGATCACGAAAAACGCGGTGAGTTAAAGTAAATATTAGCAAATAATATTAGCATTAGCAATTAACATGCTAAGACGTAAGACTTCGCAATTAATCAAATTAAATCAATTAGCATTAATAGACATTATTACCGGAAACCCGTGATAATGGAGTGCCCCCTGATATATCTGAAGGGCTATTTAATGCGTTGGCGATGTTCAACGACAGCGCCAACAGACCACGAGACCCTTCAGCATCTCCTATAAGGTTATGGGCCCAGGCAGCCTGTCATCCAGTCATCTAGGCAGCCAGGCAGCCAGTCAAATCAGTTAGTAACAGTTAATTATTATATTTTATGTAAAATTTTATGTAAAATCTGTGAAGAAAAAAAAGAATGCGAACGTTAATATAAACGTACCCGTTTTTGGCGGTTCCACCTTTAATAATTGGAAATTTAAAAACTGCAATCATGGGTATTGCAACGGTGGTTACAGGTTGTGGTTACCCTAAGAGTGAAGAATAGTTCAATCAAAAGAGATAGATTATTTAATGAAAATAAAATGTACTACCTAAATAGACCTAGTGATATCACAATACAAATGAGTAGGCCTCGTACCAAAGAAGAAGAAGAAGTAAAAAGCAAATTGGATTCGGATTAAAATAAGAAAATAAAAGAAAATAGTACAAATGACGGTTCATTGCCAATAACTAGCAAGTCTCCCAAAGATATTGATTGATATTATATCAGAGACGAGCAGGCCACAGAGAACTACAAAGAAGCCATCATACCTTCAAGACTTTGAGGTGGATAATGCATGGAACGACTCGGGCAACCGAGCGCCGGGCATCGCGGCGGTAAGACCCGTTATGGAGGATTGGCTCGAGAGGCGTCACGGGACCCTCTCATACCGACTGACGCAGGTGATCACTGGGAAAGGATGTTTCGGGGATCACCTGTGTCTGATCCGCAAGGAGCCAACGCCTGAGTGCCACCACTGCGATGGCCAGACCGTGGACACGGCTCTCCACACGCTGGCAGAGTGCCCGGCGTGGGTTGAGCAGAGGCGAGACCTCGTGGCGGCCATCGGAGTGGGAGTTCTCTCGCTCGATAGCCTGATTGCGGCTATCGTGCGGAGCGAGAGTGCGTGGAACTCTGCCGTCTCCTTCTGCGAGCGAATTAGACGGCGGAGCGGGACCGGGAGAGGTCTAGGACTCTCCCGGCCGGGGTCCGGTCCGGGGTGGCGGCAGCGCTGCGAAGCGCGCTCGCTTCCAGGGAGCACCGGGAACATGGGGTTTCCACACGGGGGGGTCGTCTACTCGTCTGTAGATGACCCGAGGTATGTCGGGGTACCAGGGACTTCCTTTCTAGGGTATACCTGGTTCCCCGCCTATTAGTACCCGAGACGGCGTGCGGTTTTAGTCGGTTCGAATCCGACATGACACCGACAGGTGGTATCCGAGGGGATTTCCGCACGGAAAAAAAAAAAGGTGGAAAATGCATATTATCTTTTGTCCAGTTTTAACCAAGACCCAAAATCTTATGAAGAAGCTGTAACTAACAAAGAATGGAAAAAAAGCTATTGAAAGCAAGCTAGAGTCGAATAGTAAACTTGGCACTTGGGAACCGGCAAAGTTGCCGAAAAAACAAAAACCTATCGAGTCGAAATGGATTTTCAGAACAAAAGATGACGGAACTAAAAAAGCACGTTTTGTAGCTAAAGCCTTTCAGCAACCGGTTTCAAGCGATGAGTTTACATACTCTCCAGTGTGCAGTCTACTCTGCGCATACAACTTTCTCAAGCTACAAAAAATCATTGGAAAATTAAACAAATAAATGTACCAACTGCATTTTTAAATGGTATGCTTGAAGATGATGTCTATATCAAGAAACCCCAAGGAGTTCAGAGTAAAGAAGAAGTTTTTAAATTGAAACGGGCAATCTACGGACTCAAAAGTTCACCAAAATGCTGGAACAACCGATTCAGTGACTTTCTTTTGAAATAAGGACTAAAGTAGTCACAATATGATTACTGCCTCTATTCTACAAATGAAGGTTATCTATTGTTATTTGTTGATGCCACACTGCTAACTGGAAACCTAAGCAAGGTAAAAAACCTAATCTCAAGTTTGTCAGATGAATTCAAAGTAAAAGACTTAGGGAGAAGGCAATTGTTTTCTAGGTATTGAAATTACTAGAACAGATAAATCATTTTAAAAAAGGAGGTGCCGCGCTACATTCTACCAAGCCTATCAAGCACCTATTTGGCTTGGCACCGACTCAAACAGACTAAAAGGGACTATTGCAAGTATAATGTTACCTGTTATATTGAGGGTATTTATTATAGTTTTTTTACTTAGATTTGTAATTTTTTTTTTTTTTTTTCAGTATTGTTTGAAGTCGGTTCAACTTTTTTTTTAAAGAATTTATTTTACCATTTTAAGTACAATGATATGTTTGTAATGAGTAGATAAGAACAATATTTAAAACATTACATACCGTACTGTAAAGTACCAAACTGTAGTATGTTAGATTATATTAAATATAGTTTAATAAGTTAGTTACTTTATTTAGATAAGGTAGTAAGATGATACATTTGAACCCGAAAATATATTGTTTTCCACATTACTTAATTTTCCAAAACTAGGAGTGGTATTTTTTCTTCACATTTGAATGGAACTAAAGAATAAATATCCCCTTCTAAATAAAAAAAAGTATTTTCGTAATTGGTTTACAAATGAAAAAGTTTTGAGGTAACAAACATGAAAATAATTCAAAATGTTTTGTTATCTCTTTCGTGCATTCTCTATAAAACATGGTCAATACATGATTAGAAAGAGAAATTTTGAAAGAGTTATTTTCTAACTCCTAAACGTCAAGGATCCTTCCATCATCAGCTCAGCAACATGACATAACGACAACTAAACACAAATACCAAATAAAAAAAATACAAATATAAAGCTAGAGAAATAAGCTAAAATAGGTTGTCGGGCTGTAAAATTTGAGAGTTTCCTTCGATTTCCCTAGGATCCTATTATCAGATGCCGGATTCAGATCCTGATTTGGTGGTAATGAGACCACCCCGGGAGCATACCCTTTCAATTACTTTTGTAAAATTCCTTTTGTTTAGAATTTTGAAAATCGGTCCACAATTGACGGAGACATTGCGTAACAAAAATAAAAAAAAAAAAATACAGACGAATTGATAACCTCCTGTTGTGTTTTGGAAGTCGGTTAAAAATGGCATGCATTTTAAACAAACTAAGATGATATGGGATGGAAAATTGTCAGTTTGAAGCTACACCGATGGACAAATGGTAGAAAAAGTGTTCTCGCTAAAAATGTGCCTCTGCTAATTATAAGGCTTAAATAATATGGCGTTGTGTGAATGTGGTAGAATATATTACATAAATTATATTATTAATATTAAATTGTTTTTAATATAAGCCCTAAAAGTGACAGCTCGAGAGGGTTTCCACACGTAAATAAAAGGGTATTGAATTGTAGAGGTTAGGAGGGGCGGCAAATATGTAAATCCGCCACTGGGCAGAACTAGTAAATATACTGGTATCTTAGAACTGTTTTATTAAACTGCTGTATTCATAACGTCAGTGAATTAAAAAAAATCATACTCCCACGACTTGTTGAAATCTACTATTGAGAATTTATGTGTGGTAATTCATATAGTCCGCTGCTGGACATAAGCCTCTCCTTAGAAAGGAGGTTTAAGGACAGTAGAGGCAGTGGACTATTAAAGGCTGTTGATGATGATGATGATGATGAATTCATTTAGACGATAATGTGTGTTGTTTCAGGTTTTCACTACCGTTGCACTTATCAATATGTTAATTGCCCCGTTGAATGCTTTCCCTTGGGTGCTAAACGGATTAACGGAAGCTTGGGTCTCGATAAAACGTATTCAGAAGCTCTTAGATGTAAGTTCTTGTGAATTTATTCTGGCAAAGCTTGTTGTTCTAAAACGTGTATATTAATCGTACAATTTAGCTTCCAGACATGGACTTGGAACTCTACTACGATCGTGTTAATAAAAATCATGACGAAGATAAAATAATAATATTTAAGAAAGCGACTTTTGCTTGGGCAAAACCGACGAAACGAATCAAATCTCCCAAGAAATCTAAAAAGAACAAAGGAAAATCTAAAAAGAACTTGTCTAGGTCAAACATACATCGGCGAGATTCGTCATCTTCCGACCCACTTCTGAATGAACCGACGCCTTTCACGCTAAAAGATATTTCTCTGGCAATAGGAAGGGAGGAATTGATCGGAGTGACTGGTGAAGTTGGAAGCGGCAAATCATCATTATTGCACGCCATCATTGGAGACATGATAAAGAAAAGCGGAGATGTTCAAATACCTGAAAATATTGATAGTGAGTCACACAAACATATTTCGAGACTTATCCGTATTTATAGATGTTAATAGATACTTCTTTATTAAAATATTGTATAATATTTATATAGGTTTTGGATACGTGTCTCAAAAGCCGTGGCTAATTCGAGGCACAATTCGTGACAATATACTATTTGGCAAACCGTATGACGAAGCTAAGTTCCGAAATGTTGTGGACGCCTGCGCCCTAACTGGCAAGTACCACTCATTTATTTAACAATTTACTTTATTGTTTACCAGCTTTTGCCCGCAGCACCGCCCGCGTATATGTCGGTTATCGCGGTAAAAAGTAGCCTGTTATTCGAAAAAAATCTTTCACCAATGGAAAGCTACACTTATCAATGTAGCTTTCCATTGGTGAAAGAATTTTTAAAATTGGCATAGTGGTTTAGTCGTGAAAGCGTAACAAAACAACTCACTTTCACATTTATACGTATGGATTAAAAAAGGAATTAAGAAATCGTTTAAATTACAGAGGATTTGAACGTAATCGGTTGGAATGCGTATGTCGGTGAAGGCGGTTGTACGCTCAGCGGTGGTCAACGTGCTCGTATCGCCCTTGCACGTGCTGTCTATCAAGACAAACAAGGTATGTATACACAATTAAATGGTTTTCATTGTAATAAATCGCTAATTATTAAAGCCACAAAGTACACTAGTGATGGATATGGAGTGCAAAGGATTTTATTGTCTATTTTGAAAGATATGCACGATTTTAGGATTGTTTATTGCATAAATATATTTTTAATATCATTGATTGAATTTTTAATTCCCGAATATTTATTTATTTATTTAGGGCAACTTACAAAACATATACTGATACATAGTTTACAAACATGTTTTACAAATATTTGCTGAGTGTTGTCTTACTTACAAGTTGACACGGCATGGTTAATAAGAAGATTAATTTGGAAGTTTAACGAAATTGCAATATTAGCATTAGCAATTAATATGCTACGACATAATAATTCGCAATTAATTACATTGAATCTAATTAGCAATGCCCATTACTTATGTACACATGTCATAAAAGGTAACAAATACAAAAATAAAATTCTGTATGACCTTTTTCATTATTCTCATATTAAGCTTTAGGTACAGTGGCGTCCCATGCAATTCCATCGGCTTTAACACTGATTTCCGTTCTAGGGTATGACGATAAGACATCGTGTGATTTTCGTCTTTTTAATCTCAATTAGAGGATTTCCACACATAATAAAAACAAATCGTGAAATAACTCACTTCAGGTGTCATAGAATTTTTGTTTGAAACAGGTATTCATTGCTATAGAGTTATATGTTGAATTTTTTACAATGTATCTTCAGTGTATCTCCTGGACGATGTGCTCTCGGGCGTGGATACGAACGTGGCACACCATATAATGACGCGCTGTATCCTGGGCGTGTTGCGGCACACGACGCGTGTGTTCGTAGCGCACTCACAGCGCCACCTGGCGCGAGCCGCCCACACCGTCGTCTTGCGAAACGGACGGATCGTTAGACAAGGTACAATAATGTAACCTATGTATCTACTCCATGATGAAAATGCTTAAACTTTGACATTATCGCGAATAATCTGTTCACTGGTTGCCATGCCATAGGTCGTGGGTTCAAATTCCAACTAGAACTAATAATTGTGTGATGAACACTATAATAATTTGTCTGGATGTAATTTATATTTATCTAGGTATTTTTATTAGTCTAGTATCTAATTACCTATACCCATTTATCTATGTATGTATGTATTTAGAAATACCTATTTCTAAATACATACACATGATGATAAACATACATACCTATGTATGTTTATCATCAGTCTTGTTACTATTCTATAGGCATAATTGTATATTTGTTGTAATATAGTTATCTAAAACTAATAAAAGCTTAATGCTGAAGCATATACAATTTTCTACTTATCGTTACATATTAAAGTTTACTGTGATTATGTTAGATGCTAAATTACATGTAATAAACACCTACAGGGCCACCAGAATCAGTATTAAACGACCTGGACGAGTTTATGCCCAGTGACCCTGAGTCGCTAGGAGAAGAGCCTATGCGACCTCAAGAGCCGCAAACAGATAATAAGGATAACATTAGCCGTAACAGTTTAGACGATGATGTAAGTTACTTATCATATCTTTCATTGATTACGTTGAGGTTAACCTCCTTGCTTTAAATGTAGGTGTCTTACTTACAATTCAATGGAAGCTTGTATGTATGATATGCAAGGTATTTTGGTTGATAAGAGTGTTTAAAATAATAATGAAAACAATGAATACCGACTAAGCGAATATAAGACCTACATAAACATGGATAAAACAAGTTTTTGTTGTGTGTTTTGTTTGTGAAAATAATGATACACACATAATTATGAGACATAATTTATTCTACTGTATGATATTATTAAACATAATAAGTTGTATGACGAATATTAAAAATATTATTAAATATATATTTGCGATTATTGCAATATGAAAAAAATAATTAAATAATGGAACAAAGTCATTTACTTGACTACATAAAAATAAAAACTGTACCCGTTAACTTCGTTTCTGCAGAGAGTTCGAGTGAGATTTCACTTTCATTATGATACACCGTATAACAGTCATCTGTTACTTCTCGATACTATATTATATATTACATTACATTATATTATATATATATATATATATATATCTATATATATATATATATATATATATATATATATATATATATCTTTACAGGAAGCTATGTCTGAAGGAACTATCGGTTGGTGGGTTCTCGGACTATATCTCCGCTCAGTTGGATTCTTCCTTACAACGACCATTATATTGTCATTAATCCTCATGCAAGTTTCGCAAAACTTTACCTTTCTCTGGCTTACCTATTGGGTCAAAAGTAACATGAGAAATTCAACTACATTAAATGATATGACATTAAACGAGCATGTTACAGAGAAAACGAGTATATTGGATCATGGAATTAACTCTGTTGAAAATGCAATACACGGTTTAATTAATACTACGATGTCATTGTTTGACGGAACAAATAAAGGAAACCAAACTCCTTTTAATGATGTGTCATATACAGTTCGTCCATTATTAGCAAACACTACAGCAATGTATACGGACAACTTTTATCTAGAGATTTATTTTGGACTGGCTGCGCTAAACCTTGTATTTACTATAATGCGAGCATTCTTGTTCGCCTATGGAGGCGTAAAAGCTGCCTCCAAGATACATAAGGTTTTGCTCAAAGTTATAGTAAAGGTCAGTATTCTTACTTAAGTCTCTTTAAATTAAAATAATTTTGTTGCTTTTCATGTACATGTACAAACATAACTTTTTGTGTACATGAAAAAACTCTGCGTGTGTTCGTCACAATTGTTGACATTTTAACGGACGGAAGTCCCAAAAGTATGATGAGATCCAACAGGTAATCTACTTATCTATTGCATTAACAAAATTGTTATCTGTGCCTATAAATATTAAATATTTTTCATAAATGTTATGTGAACAAAAAGGTTATGAATAGTTGTAAATGTCAATTTTCAGGCCAAAGTGAAATTTTTCGATATAACTCCACTAGGGCGGATTGTTAATAGATTTTCATCTGATACCTACACAGTGGATGATTCGTTACCATTTATTTTAAACATTTTACTTGCGCAATTCTTCTCGTTGGTCGGTAAGTGTCTTTCAATTGACACATGGTCTTTTAAGTATTATATATTAGAAAAAATAATTTCCTTTTCTTTTAGGTGCGGTTGCCGTAACAGTATACGGTCTACCCTGGCTACTAGTTGCTGTGGGTCCACTAATTTTCATTTACTACAGACTTCAGAGAACATATCGCGTTACTTCACGACAGCTCAAACGATTGCAAAGTGTCACGCTCTCGCCTGTTTACACACACTTTAATGATACACTCGACGGTAATTTACGTATTTTGATCATAATTAACCGATAATACAATCAAACAACAGATAAACTGATAGTATTGACTGTGGGTATTGTAGAAAGAAAATACAATAAAAAGTATTTTTTAGTACATATTAAATGAAAGACGACTTTCCGAATTATTTGTGAGGCATGTAACTCTTTCCAAAAATTACTAATACTTTTCGAACATGTGTCTTAACATCATAAATTTCTTTTAAAGTTATAAAGTTTATAACTTAATAGCATTAATTTATTAGTATTAAAAAAAAAAAATATTTTGAAAAGTAAAAGGTACGAGGGAATTGCTATAAGTATATTAATTAAAAAGCACAATATTTTTTTTACGATTTATAAATTTATTGTCTAAAAAGAGCTCCGAGATTCGACCGTATCCTTTTTACATGGTTTTTTTACCTATTAAGTCAACTTCTATGGAATAAGTTTGCAGGTGGGATGGGGTGAGAAACTCTGCTTTAACATGATTTGTTGTGAAACAATCATTTTATCAAGACAATGAGTCAGTAGTAGTCCAACGTTTCTTACCTTTACAAATTTCAAAACCACTATTGTGCACGTTCTCCTTTGAATGTCCAGCTTGCATTGTATTTAGACCCTTTTTTACGTGTGGAAACCCCCTCGGGCCGTCACCCCACCGGGGATTGCGGCGGGGCGGTGTGTTGGAACCAACTAAAACCAACGGGGTGCCACTCTGCGCCTGTAATAGGAGGGATGCGGGAACAGCTATTATTACGACATACGGACCCCTCCTAGCGCCTGCCCGCAAAAGCGCTGGCACCACCTTCGGTAAAACTATTTAGACGACGTTCGGCAAACGCGGACGTCGCCTCCTCGCGGTTGGTCATTGTAGCGGATGGAGGGGAACACCCGTCCCGTCTACCCGAGGCCACACTCAGGGCGGCATGAGGCGCTGGAATGCGCACCTCCGCCGCCCGGTTCGCCGGCGGCGAATTGGGTCCGAGTGGAGGTCATCCTCCCGAGCCCTCTCCGCCGCCTCCTTCTGCGAGGCGGCCGGTAGCGAGAGATCCTCTCCGATGACTGCAATAAGAACCCGACGCTGCGACGCTCGAGCCGGGCAAATTGTCAGCGTATGCAAAGACTCAATTCCCTCCCAGCGACCGAGTGCAGGTACTTCCCGAAACAGGCGTGCCCGGAAAGAACCTGCGTCAGTCGGAAGGAAAGGGTACCGTGCTGCCGCCCTGCCCAATCGGCGATGACCGGCTGAAGCGCCTCCACAGCGGCAAATTGACTGCACGGATGGCGTAGTGGTTTAAGCGGTCGCCACGCCGTTTCCTACTACGCCGAGTGTTGTGGGTTCAAATCCCACATGACGACACTTTGTGTGATCAAATTGGGCAAAAGCGGACGCAGCACCGACCAACTTTGGAGCAAGCCGTCGGAAGTGCTCGTCGAAGAGCCTGCTATCGTCGAGGATAAGACCCAAATACTTCATTTGGGCCTGAACTGGTACCGAGTTTACCACGATTGAGGCGCACTAAATTCACTTCGTAAAATTAGTAGTAGGCAGAACAAACTTTCTAAAAGTTTCATATTTGTCTCCTTCTCATTGTTCTTTTTTTCAGTTTTTCTTTAAATTACATTGTTGTGTTGTTAGGGTTAGACACAGTTCGCGCATTCGGCGCAAGTGGTGCATGGTCAGCGCGAGGTGCGGAGTTGGTAGAAGCGTGGCAACGAGCTGCATTAAGCGCTTCAGCCGCTTCGCAATGGCTGGCGTTGCGCTTGCAGATTGCTGCTGCCGCTGTTGTGACCGCCTCGGCGGGGCTTGCAGTACTGCAGCGATCACTGCACACCGCCGATTCTGGTGTGTACTATCATTTTTCATCAAGCATCTTGTTTAAAATTTGTGTTAAATTGATATTTCTAATTCTACATTTAGTTCATAAATAGTAATAATTTTACCGTAGGATTAAATGCAGTTAGTAAGAGTTGATGCAAAGTCCTTAGCTAGATGTATATTTGTGACATCCAATACCACGTATTTATAGAAATGTAATGATCAACACATAGATTGTAAAAAAATGAATAAAACAGATAACTTAGAATAGCTCTTCATTTACAAGAGAATTGTAGATAGAAGATCGCAAACCAAAATAACCAAGTAGGGACGAGGGACTTTTATAGCACTTGACTGTGTTAATCAGGCGCTATACTGGTTAGAATATAATAAAGTAACGAAGAAAGAACTTAAATTTGATTTTATTGCTGTGCCATATTATTATTAACAAACTGTTATTGGAATTTGTACCGCAGGTCTCATAGGTCTTGCCATATCGTACGCTTTGTCGATGACTTCAATGTTGAGTAGCGTACTTAACGCCTTCACGGAGACGGAGCGGGAGATGATTGCTGTCGAACGCGTCGGTGAATATATCAATCAAGTAAGTTTTTAATGAAACTATATATGTACGTTATATGCCCACCACTTACATGATTAACTTTTAAAAAAGGAATACCGACTTCAATGCGCGATGCAATCATGAATGAATTATGAGAGAGTGTATTTTTCATTCCTTAATTTTTCACTGTTAAGGGTGGTATTTTTTTTTAAATTTCTAATGAGGACCAAGACTTGTATCAAAACCATGTAAATGGTTACTATACATTTACATGGTTTTTAAAAAAAGATGGGACCACAATGAAAAGTATACCCTCCCAAATAAATAAAATAATTTCCTAAATGGGTTCCTAAATGACGGCGTTATTGTAAAAAACATAAATAATAATAGTTAAAAAAAACTAAAAAACACGCTTTTTATAGAAAACCAAAATAAGAAAAAGGAAATAAAATTTTAATAAATTTGAAAAAAAAAAACGGGTGCCTGTTGTCAATAGTAAAAAGCACCCCGCTTTTTTTCAAATTTATTAAAACTATTTTGTTTTTTAATATTATTCATTTTTATTTTAAATTAGTGTATTGTCATCGGTCCTCGATATATCTACATAGTTTGAACGAATTCTGACCGTTTAAAGTCAGACAAAATAACGCCCAAAGGAGACGGTTACAAACAAACAAACATACAGGTGAAGCTAATAAAAAGCGTGTAAAAAGAATACTACTAAACCCCCTCCTTTTTTTAAAGTCGGTTAAAGTTTGAAATATATTTGAGATACTAGTTTTCTAAAAAACTATAGGCTATCTAATCTAAACAACTTTGTATTGGCGTAATTCACACAATTTCAATAACCTTCTCCTTAAAACCATGGAGTTATGTAGCTATTTTTTTAATTTTGCCACAAGATATAGAATTCTTAATGACTAAAATTAAATCTTTGAAACAAAGCAAAATAACCAATTTATACACAATAGATTTTTTTTTGAAACTTTATTTCAAATTAGGTTCTTTCAAATTCACTTGAATACGAATAATTGTTAAAATGTTCGAAAAATCGAATTTATTAATAACGAGTAATTTTTAGTCCAGGCGTCTTAGTGTTTAATAATACTTAAAATTCATCTGACATCCAAATCTCAACAAAAACGCATAAATTAAATTAAAAGTATGTAAATTAATGTATTAAAAAGAAAATATTTGCAGCCAAAAATCGCTTGTGTCCAAGTCTAGTGTATACTAAGATTTACTAGTAAAACCTATGATGTGCCATTACACAGGCTTTTATAGTAACATAAATAAAACTGTTAACGATTAGTACATACTTAGAAATGATATCGAAATCTCTTAAGAATCAGATATTTAAGTAATCGATTTCTTTGACCCCATCGCCATACTTCAATCTGTCAGAGCTGTCAAACGGTACCTCTTAGATTAAATGGACTATAACTAGTATTTTTAATTGATTTGTAAATGACTACTTAAACCTATTTTTATAGGTGGAAATTGAAGAAGTGGATGGCGTTTCGCCACCATACGGCTGGCCGTCACAAGGCGTCATAGAGTTCGAGAACGTATACCTCAAATACAGGTGCTTACATCGTATATACGTACATCTGCTTTGACAATTCTAAGTACTAGTCGCTCCCCGCATTTTCACAGCTCTACCCCTAGAAGTTGTAGTGTAATAAATTATATAAGAAAGGTTATTTCTAATTCTGTCTTACAATTGTTACAGGAGTTTTGCGTGTCCTTTCCAATGGTACTTAATAATATTTATTTTTAAAATAAATTGTTAAGTAAAATTGGAAAATGCATTGGGTACTTCTGTTTTTATATTTTGGTAACACTAGGACCAATCTGTCATCTCATGTCAATCATTCGCTTACGCGGTAACTATCATCAGTTTAGTTTTCTTTGATATCTATTCAATTTTTTGTTTATTGAACTTAGTGATTAAAAGTTAGTTTAGTTAATAAAATGCAAATTTTTAGCATTCAACATCAGTTGAGAGCTAAAAATTAAATAATACCTACAAGAAAACAATACGTTTTTTTAATAATTGTTCTGACACAACTTATTATATTATCGGTTTCTACACGGTTTCAACACCGAAATAGTTTTTTTTTTTCAAAATTAAAATGCCTGCGCCTTGGCCGAATTCCCATACAAAGCTGTCGGTGTCCTTTTGGTATTTGTAGTACTTTTTTCTTTATAAATAGTACACACATGGGTATGTTATTAACTAAACTAACTTTTAATCACTAAACATGAATAAATCATTATACATCATTAAACATGAATAAAATGATATCTAAAAAACTAAAAATTGAATAGATATCAAAGAAAACTAAACTGATGATAGTTACCGCGTAAGCGAATGATTGACATGAGATGACAGATTAGAAATTTTAAATAATATTTATGTTGACAGTGATCGTGAAAATGCGCCGATGGCTCTAAACGGTGTGACGTTCTCTACGCATCCTGGTGAGAAGCTGGGCGTAGTAGGGCGGACGGGCGCCGGGAAGAGTTCACTGCTACATGCGATATTGAGACTAGTGCCGTTACATAGTGGGACGTTGCGAGTAGACGGCGTTGATATATCTAAACTGCATTTACATGCGCTTAGGTACGTAGACGATCACTAATTATATTCACTATTTACCTTTTTCTTCTAGGAAATTCTATTAACCACTACTCTTTCTCCTCTTCTCCCTCTTTTGTCTAGTCGTTTTATTCTTTTTGATTGTTTCTTATTTGTACGTACGATCGAAAGTTGACCTTAAATCGTACTCCTCTTAAGTCATCCTCTCCGTATCGTTCTAAAAAAGTATAGATAAATAGATTAACCGACCAAACTTCATACACCGGTGTTTCCTCAAAATACTTTGACTGCACGGATGGCGTAGTGGTATAAGCGGTCGCCACGCCGCTCACTACTACGCCGAGTGTCGTGGGTCCGATCCCCACATGGGACGACACTTTGTGTGATCCATAAATTGTTGTTATGAGTATGGGTGTTCTTCGCGTTCGTTTCATGTATGTTTGTAAAGTTCCCCGCGACACAGGAATATTCCGAATGCGCGAGTTGTCTTATAAAAAAAAAAAAATTGATATTTAAGAGTCGTTCTACGGTTTCTTAGGTCTCGGGTGGGCGTGATACCGCAAGAGCCGTTCATATTCTCGGGCAGCATCCGCGAGAACGTGGACCCGCTGCGGCAGTACCACGACGCGGAGGTGTGGCGCGCGCTGGAGGCGTGCGGCGCTCGCGACGCGGTGGCGGCGTGCGGCGGCCTGCTCGCGCGCACTGACGCCGCGCGCCTGGCCCGGGGACACGCGCAACTGCTCTGTGTCGTGCGAGCGCTTTTGCATCGACCCAAGGTATTTAAAAACATGTACGCATGCACGTACCGTGCTTTAAAAACATTGGAATTTCTAAAAGCAAAAACAGATAATGTGGCAACACGCCTCCTTTTTTCACTTACTGCAATAACTTTGCTGCACGATGCTTCGTTTGGACGCATTGCGTCAGATTCTTGCATAAGTCCAGTTCACAGTGATTTCGAGGTTCATTTCTATAAATATGATATATCGCAAAAAGCATACCGCTAGTGGAATTGATTCAACTACTAACAACGCAAGCGGTTCGTGTGCAACACGTGTTCTGACACTTGCCAGATGAATATTGGTCATTCTGCGAACCAGATATTTCGTTAACTGACCATTTTGCGAATTGTATTTTCTGCGCCTAAATCAAATACGTCGAAACTCGATTGCTTCTGGTTAAACGCGCTTTACATTTTGTTAGACTAGATAATTTGTAAATAACTGTAATAAACAGTATTGTGTGTGAACCACAATTTAGTCTTATGTTTATACTACACGATAAGACGAGGCCTTTATCATATTGTTTTTAGCGCGCAATACGTATTGTATCCTCGTATTGTGACCACTTTATATCATTCACATATGTTTTCTCTTCTCGTGCGTTCGTATGTGGATTAAGTACGCAATTATGGTAACTTTTAGATCAGGTTAGAACACCATCGCATTCATCGATTGAATTCATTACGCTCTGAGTCCAGGTGTTCGCTTTGTTTGTCCTCAAAAGCATAAATATTCTACTTGACGCCGTTTCTCCACTGTAACCGATTTCCAGCGATTCCTTCACCATATGTGCACATCTTTGTACTGAAAACACTGCCCGCCTCGTTTGCGTTTGTCTTTCTCGGGCTCGCAGTAAAAAAGCGCTTAGTCACCCTCACATCAAGCATCTGGAACACATGGCCAGACTGAAGGGCCGCCGCATGCCTCTATGTCACTTATACCAGTACTACGCTAAACTTCCGTAATAATGACGCATTAATAGCTCCCGCAAAATATTCCATCTCAAAATTTCGTCGTAGTCGAAAAGTCGTAGGGTCTTTCGGACAGAGCCTTAGAGTTATAATCGATATAAATCATTAAAAAACGTACACAATCATATAGTACGTTGAAATGTAACTGTAGATCCTGTTGGTGGACGAGGCGACGGCCAACCTGGACAACGAGGCGGAGCGGTTGATCCTGGACGCGATCCGGTGCTCGTTCGGCGGCGCCACGGTGGTGTCGGTGGCGCACCGCCTCACGGGCGCGCTGGAGAGCGCGCGCGTGCTCGTGCTGCGCGCCGGCGCACCGCTGGAGCTGCGCGCGCCCGACGACGCGCTCGCCGACCACTCCTCGCACCTCTACAACCTGGTCTACGCCTCCTGAGCGCACCCGCGCGCCTCACGCCCGACGACGCGCTCGCCGACCACTCCTCGCACCTCTACAACCTGGTCTACGCCTCCTGAGCGCACCCGCGCGCCTCACGCCCGACGACGCGCTCGCCGACCACTCCTCGCACCTCTACAACCTGGTCTACGCCTCCTGAGCGCACCCGCGCGCCTCACGCCCGACGACGCGCTCGCCGACCACTCCTCGCACCTCTACAACCTGGTCTACGCCTCCTGAGCGCACCCGCGCGCCTCACGCCCGACGACGCGCTCGCCGACCACTCCTCGCACCTCTACAACCTGGTCTACGCCTCCTGAGCGCACCCGCGCGCCTCACGCCCGACGACGCGCTCGCCGACCACTCCTCGCACCTCTACAACCTGGTCTACGCCTCCTGAGCGCACCCGCGCGCCTCACGCCCGACGACGCGCTCGCCGACCACTCCTCGCACCTCTACAACCTGGTCTACGCCTCCTGAGCGCACCCGCGCGCCTCACGCCCGACGACGCGCTCGCCGACCACTCCTCGCACCTCTACAACCTGGTCTACGCCTCCTGAGCGCACCCGCGCGCCTCACGCCCGACGACGCGCTCGCCGACCACTCCTCGCACCTCTACAACCTGGTCTACGCCTCCTGAGCGCACCCGCGCGCCTCACGCCCGACGACGCGCTCGCCGACCACTCCTCGCACCTCTACAACCTGGTCTACGCCTCCTGAGCGCACCCGCGCGCCTCACGCCCGATGACGCGCTCGCCGACCACTCCTCGCACCTCTACAACCTGGTCCAACTGTTCAAAGGACTAATTGTATCCAATTAGTCCTTTGAAAAGTTTGTTATTTGTTCTTTAAAACTATTTTTTTACTTACATCGCGTCAAAGAGGCGCCCGAAACTACCTTATATATTTCAATTTGATCACATTATAATTTATATAATATTTTTGCCTTTTTTAATACAAACTCTGATGTGGTTACTTCACCTCTAACGTTTTGATTATTGTTGTTTTCTCAAAATTGTTCTGCAAGTCAAACCAAACATTTCTCTAGCTTCAGGCGTACTCTTTATACCTCGATGTGATTCACGGATATTGAATATTGGGCAAATTGTGTATCAAAGCGTTGACACCAAAATGTCTAATTTTCGGTATTATATGATGAGAATATTATTTTACCTTAAGTTTTAGGTTAATTTGAATTGCTATTTTATGTATATCCTTCATTACATTTACATTATGATTTAAATGTGGTACACTGACAATCGAACTACTGCATAAAAAGAATTAACAATTGTTTTGCCACTAATACAATTATAAACACCAACATTAATGAATACTACTTTGTAACTCTGTTTGAATTACGTTTCCCTTTGCCGTCATAATATGGTTAATATTATTTCAAATAAAATACTACTTTCCATATAACTAAGTATATAGTTAGTACAGATGGATTACATTTTTTTAATATTGTTTTATAGTCCTAAGCTAAGAGTCTAGTCGCATCTCCTGTTTCAAATCAAGTATTAAAAATCGGCTGGAACATAAACATACAACCATACTACTTTTTATATTGTTTTTAGAAATACTCGTGTTATGTCATCTACTCATTTGAAGTTTTCAAAAAAAAACTCGTATTATTTCACAATTTAAAGATTTCAATTTTACACATTATTTACCCATATTAAATCGAAGTACACAAGTGTTCAGTGATAAGCAAACTTTGCCTCTGCCACATACGTACCTTCAACTTTGAATACAGTGCAACAATCACAAATGCAACCGAGTACAAAGATAAAAAATTAGGCGAGTAAATTTTTTTAAGCCGCGAATAAAGAAAACATCACATCAACAGCCTATGATAGTCCACTGCTGGACTTAGGCCTCTCCTCTGAAAGGAGGTTTTGGCCTACTATACCACGCTGGCCAGACGGGTTGGTATAGGGTTTGTTTCAAGTTTTCCTTCTCTTTGCAGTGCTGTTGTCTTGCGTAGTTTTCTCCCTTAGTCGACTTCTACGACACCCACGGGATGAATAGGGGTGGTGACATTACGTATTCTTAATCCGTCGCCACACGAATAATAATAATAATAATTTAAAAAAAAAGTATAGTTTATTTATAGTTAGCGCCGATGCCATGCGAACACTGTGCTCCATGGCAGCTCGCCTCGTTAATCCGCGATCTCGTTTTCGCTTTCTATTACGACACCCATTTTTGTCGCATCGCCATATCGCAAAATAATAGTAGTAGGACGACGCCTAATACAAAATTAATATGGTAGATAAGCACCCTGTTTAAGGTGCAGTGTTTAAATCTATATTTAAACAGAGTTGTTCACATACGCCGTCCACGTTTGGATAGCGCCAAACTTCTACGCCAAACATATGATTCTCATCCCAGCCTTGTGCCACAGTTGGAAGGCGCCCTTAAGGGTATTTAATCTATTAAAATGTAAATGAGTCTACTAAATAACAAAATCATCTTCCAAACAGTTAATAAATGACGCAGCTCTGTGTTAATAACATGAAAAGACAACGGAGAAATTCTAGTTTAAAGTCGATTAAAAATAAAATATAATATTTTAGGAAAATATAAACGTATATAGTATAGTATATGGTATGGTTCTTCTTAATTTATTTTGGTCCAAAGACTAGCCCATGGTTAATATGCACATATGCACCACAAATAGTCTAAATATTTTAATAAGATATTTTTGTTGCTATAGAAAATATACCACCCATACATTAATTTTAAAAATTATGTGTCAAATTATGAATAAATTAATTAATTCACTTGTTTTTACTTAATTATATTGCGCAACTGACTACTTACTGTAGGAATTATTAACTGCTTCAGTGTCCATTCCGCTCAATCATGGGCATTGCATCAGATTTCTGGCCACTTGTGATTATTGGAGCTGGTCAACCTTGTTGTGATACACTATAATATACCGAAATGAAATCAAAAGAAAAACTTCAAGTAATCTTCTAGAATCTAGCAAAATCATTTTATTTCCTGGTGTTTAAACATTTTCAAATGAGAAATTGTTTTGGTTTGAGATAGATTTATCTTTATTAATGTAACGTAGGAAGGTAAATTTAGGAAATTGCGAGCTTTGAATTTGACAGAGTAGTGATGATTTGTGCAATTATTTAAAATGCAACTATATGACAAATATTATAATGTCTAATAAATGTGTGTTGTGTAATAATATATGTATATAAATACTGAATACTAAAATGGACACTAAATTAAATTATTTATTAAAACAATTATGCATTCAATACATTTAAGAAACGAAATTGATTTTTTTTATTAGTTTACACATACTTTACACGTTATATTCATTTTGGGTGAATAAGCTAAAATGGTAGCTTTTAGATTTCAAAAAGCATCAATCAATAATATTATTTCGTTTGGTTAATATTAGGGCTCCCTGCTTTGTAATAATGTTATTTTCTTACATAGTGTCAGTGCACATGATTGTAATATATTCTTTGCATTTTACGTATTAGCAATTGTTTGAGGTTGAACATAGAGCTGTTGTGTACGTAAGCTTTAATTACTGGAGCTACTTGTCCTGGTATTCTAAGTACGGTGAGAACATATCTAATGATGTAAAATTTTATTATCTAAGGGAAGTTAAGAATACTGATTCCTTCAGTTGATGATTGTTTATGCTGATGTGGATGGTTTAGTTCGTGCATAGCTGTTTATAATTCTTTTGTTTTTAATTATTTCCAGTCCTAAAGTAAGATGTTTGTTTATAAATACATGTGATATAGTTAATATTATGTAATAAGTTACGGATAACTTGGTATTAAATATTCTTATAATAATGAGATTCTTTAATTTTGTTATTTTTACATATAAGTTGGTCTAAAACATGTGCCCCAACGGAAAAAGTTCGAATTTCATTATTTAAGTTTAACAGATATTTAGTGTATGACGTCGTGTATTTGTGTATGGTAAGTAAAAATTTGTTAATTCAACTATTGCGGAATTATTCACGAAAAACTGTTTCGGCACGGCACTTTTTTATCCTATGGACGTAGTAGAAAAAAAATGGTATCAAAAAGTAGTGTATGACGTAGGTAATTGTGTATGTTTAAATGAAATTTGTGCGTCAATAAACTGCGAAGATATTCAGGTTTCCGCTGCGACAATGTTTGGCCATTTGCTAGATTTCATAGAGCTGTAGATTTTTTCATACGTTGTTTTGAATTTGTTTATACTGTTGTAAAAACGAATTTTAAAAAAACATACCAGTCAGAAGATATAAATATAAACGTAAAATAAGGTTATTAGTTCCTAGTACTTAGTGTTTATGCACTAGGGACTAGTTTATAACGTTTATACATACCTTGTAAGCATCTACAACGTCTTACCAAGTATCATTGATGTACTCTTAGTAATTAATACCTATGGGACAATTTACTATGACTGAACCACTGTTTCATATGCAGTATTATTGCACGAGATTCTAAAAGAAATGCTTAATAAAACCTATTCCAATAATTAGTGCATTAATTTAACTATGCATATGTAAAATTTCATGTCTTTACACCCAATAATTAAAGAAATACAATTAAAATAATGATAACCATAGCAATTCGTACAAAACTCGACTGATTTCGGATTGCTACAAAAAAGTGGCCGTGCAGTATATTTAGGTAACATTCTAAAATTTACAGTATAATACCGGTATTAAATTGGTACAGCTGGTTACGCAATACTTAAATAAAATTTCGATATTGCTTTTTCTGTAACTACTGTTGCCAGCGTATTTGGTTAAAGCAGTACGATTCTTAAAATAGATATATTTCTGTCAAAAAAAACACAAATAATCAAGTGCCAAAATTAATAATGGGCAATTAATTGCAGAGATAGGTAGACCATAATTATATCTCAGAAAAATTATATATTATATGACATATTATCATACCATCACTTTCTTCTAATGCAATAGCCAACAATACTACGTCAACTACAACCATATAAAAAAA